GTACTAATGGCTACGTTAACGTTACTTTAATCATACGGCGCCGCTCGCCATACGGGTACTACCACGAACCAGTACCCCTGGCATTTTCTCCATACGCCACCGCTATCAAAGAGACGCCTGTAAACCTGTTGACAGGACGCCTCAAACAGAAGACAGGGTCACTTAATTGTGACTCTTTCTATTATGAATTTCTGACCCGTGGAGGTTTTATGTTTGTACATGATTTTAAAATCCGTGACGTCATCACAGAGTAAAGCGTATTGCTGCGTTCCAGGAAACTCGAACATTCCCAACTAGAAAACGTGCAACTGAACGTCACTCAACGTCGGAGTTCATCAGTCAACCCCCGACCACAGACTGTATGTAAGAAACGACTTGTGGTCTGATGTCACCCTGTTTTTTTTTTACAGTCTATGGATGTAACACAACAATGGCAGCACTTACCTGAACAGCAATGTCTTCTCTGCATAAAAGTTGTCCAGGAAAACCTTAAAAATGCCCCGCAATTTAAAAACAATAGGAAATATACAACATTTACTGACTTTTGCAGATTGCGAGACCAGAATTACGTACGAACGTATATTATTTATTTGTGTCACTTGTTTTCATTAAAACTGCTATCTTTTTACTTAACACGGAGGTTGCTGCTGAGGGTTCAATTGTGTGTGCACCACAAAAAAACGTAGGATAAGTTTGTTTGGCGTCGTGCACCATCAAGCACTTGGCATGCATTAAGATCGTGAAATTCCGACCTCCAGCTGTGACCGAGAACGCAACAGTCCTGAACCCTCGCATTAGTTGACGTCAACTGGGCCTCACCTAATAGGAATTTGATATTTTTACATGGTATGATGGACATTTTAGAAAAATAAAAATAAACAAATGAAAGGAAAGGTACTTGTTATTCCACGAAGAGAGCTTTGGAATATTGGTTTAGCAATGATATTGTGTTGGCAGATCAGTTTTCAAATCTCAGCCAAGGGTTATTCATTATCTCCTACTGACACTCCCATAGGTAGGCTAAATTTGTTTATGGCATCATTCTGGTAACAGCAACATATCTATAAGGGCATTTTTTCAAAGAGATATTACTACCATACCATACGTGATTTCATACTGGAATCAATTTGTGGATTATTTAGTATAGAAGAAGGCGTGGCTTTACCTAATCGACACTTGATAACCAATAAAGTTAAAGAAATCTCTTTTAAACTCATTTATAAATTCTTTGCACATCGATGTGAATTGTAGTTTCTGTTGAGCATGTCCAGATATTATTTCTGAAAATTTTGACGAAAGTTTTGTTTTACTCTGGAAGAACGTATTGTTTGGTCTCTCAGAAAATAACACACAGAGAAACACGTATGTGTACTTGATTAATCTTCTTATTATAATGGCCAAATTTCATATCCATAAATGTAAATTTTACAGAAAAGAAGATAAGTTTGTACTTGTTGCAAACTTGAATAAAAAACGTTTTTGAAAAAATGCTGCAAGGGCCCAAAATGGTATAATGGTACAGCACTGCACTTTGCAACATATCACCTTACGTTACCTTAAACCTTTAAACTTTGTGGGTTTGGGACTTTTTATTTTACATGTTTTACTCTCTTCACGCCGGAGACACTGAAGGGACTAACTGTACATTTTCAAACCACAAAGCTAGAAATATTTAAAAAATACATTTTTATTTCAAACCAAGGCATCTAATTTATCACAAATCACCGGCATTAGGTTGAGCAAAAACTACTAACTCTACTAACACAAAAATGACAGAAATTATTAAAGCTAAAATAAAAATACATAAATAACAACACAGAATTAAATAATAAATAATAAATAGGACTATCTCAAAATCTATTAAAGAAAACAACTACACAGAACAGGTTTCAGTGACTTACTCAAGAGTTTCAACTAATTCTTCCAAATGGTTCAAGATGGATTTAGTCTTGAAGTATCTACATTTATGTATTGCAAATCTCCAAATAACACAATATTGAGAAAAAAGTAAATCTACAAAAACACCAAACTTGACAGTCACTGGTGACAAGTCACTCTCCTTGGACTGTAGCCAGCGTCACATCTCACTCCAGAAAGACTGCACTGACTCACAACGGAAAATGTTCCACATCTCAGGAATTCCTTTATTGTTTACATTTCATTTAAAATTTTAACGTTTACCTCTTTTACCTCAGAATGAAGTTAACAACGGAGCCTTCAGGGCCACTGGTGTTCAGGGGTCCAGTGTAGTTGCCTGCTTTGTCCAGTAAACCAGCCTTGACCTCAACAAAAGTAAGATTTTGCACACCACAAAGTCTAAGAGAAAGGTTCGTTTGGCCATCAAGTCAATTGACATTTATTTCACATTTCAAACAATTTTTTATGTAGTCTGAAAATTAAATAAAATTTTATATGGAGTACAAGCAACAGAAGCAAAAGTTATTGGCTGTAATTTCAAAGTCAGTACAGGAATTAATGCAACATCTGTTTTAACGTCTTCCTAGAAGTAGCAGTACAAGTAGTTACTTCTGCTTCTTGGAAGGGAGGAAGGGCCCCACCAGGAAAGTGTTGCATTTTGTCTGACTGGTTTACCACAATACCAACTCTCACGCCTCTACTGAAGGTTTGCCACTCCTATAGTAGTTCATATTTTGCTTATATTTATATATACTTTTATATTCAAGATCATTGTAGTACATGAACACAAAAAAGGAAAGATTGATTTTTTAAAAGACATTCAGAGTTGCATGAACCCATGTCTTGCGTAATTTCCTGGGGTATCATACATACTAGGTTATGACAGGATGTTGCCATGAGAGATTATATAGGAAAAAAAAAAAAGAGAGAGGAAGAGAGCAAGGAAGGCCAGAGAAGTCATAGGTCACAGTGTTGTCTGTCATACAAACTAAGCTCACAGCTGTTTTCTGTGAGGCTCCCATTGAATTACTGGTGCTTTCTGCCCTCTGGTGGAACTGAACTCTGAGTGTCATACAGTGTGAATAGTAGCTATGGATTTGATGTGCATGGCCAAAAGTCAGTGAACACCACGACTAATTAATGAGTTGAGGTGTTTCAGGCACAATGCTACCGGTCAACTGTAAGTGCTATATTTGTGAAGTGGGAGTATAGAGCCAGGACACTGACTTCAGAATTTAGCACTGAAAACCAAACCAGAACTGAAAACAGTTTCACTGAAAAATAATATATTTTTTAGTCTGGTTTGTTTTTCTATGACAGTGTTCTGATTTTAGTTACTCTTGGTGACATTGCTATGTTCATATTTAAAGCATGTTAAAAATAACCATGAATGTTAAAATATAAATACACAAATACTACAGTTGCAGTCGATCAGTAGTCTGTATCTGATGCCAGTGTTTGTTGCATTATATCACCCACTGCATTTTAAATTGTCTTTGTTCATTTCATTGGGTAGTCAAGGGGGAATTTAACCTGCAATCTCTGGACAATAAGGAAGCATGCAATGGTCACAGAAAGGAAGAGTGGTTGGTTTAAACTCATATCAAAAATAATTATTTCTTTAGACACTACAATGTAAGGTACAGTCAACATACTCTATGTGGTATTTCCTGTAAGTTCTACTAAACGGAAATGGCCTTGTGCTCTGCTGTGGACTGTCAGTATGACAGTATATAACAGGAAGACAACCAACCGCAAACCAGTAAACTGTTGGGCTTCAAACTTACATAGCCCCTTTGCAACCCTGTTTTTGACATGCAGTGTCTAAACAGATGAACAGACAAAAGTATTAATTCTGTTTGCCCTGGTTGATCCCTTTGACCTCACTGTACTGCCATTGCAGCATGAGGGCTCTCAGCAGTCAGGGTCTATATCAGCACAACTCAAAGAGGAAAGTCTTAAGCCTACTCTTAAATGTGGAGATGGTGTCTGCCTCCTGAGCCCAAACTGGGACCCGGTTCCACAGGAGAGGAGCTTGATAGCTGAACGCTCTGGCTCCTAGTCTACTTTTGGAGACTCTAGGAACCACAACTAACCCTGCATTCTGGGAGCGCAGTGCTCTGGTGGGGTAGTAAGGTACTATGAGCTCTTTAAGATAAGATGTTGCCTGACCATTAAGAGCTTTATAGATGGGGAGAAGAGTTTAAAATTTTATTCTGGAGCCAATGCAGAGAAGCTAAAACAGGAGAAAGATGATTTGTGGCAGGTGATCTTGTCAGTAGACGAGCCGCGGCATTCTGGATCAACTGGAGAGTCATTATTTATTTATTCACTTATTTGGGCAGCCTGATAATCAGGAGTTGCAGTAATCCAGCCAAGAAGTAACAAATGGACTAGTTTTTCTGCAACATTTTGAGACAGGATGTTTCTGACTTTTTTTGAATTTTACATAGTTGAAAAAAAAGGCAGCCCTTGAAGTTTGTTTTATGTAGGAGTTGAAGGACATGTCCTGATCAAAGATAATTCTGCTGCAGGTCAGGGCACCCACTGGTTTGTTGACTACTGTTTTGAAGCCTCGAGTTTGGCATATTGGCGCTCACCTTCTTGGTTTTTGGGAACCAGAAATGACCATATTTGGACGAGAGGGTGGAGCTGGGGACAGATCCGCGTTGCAATTGCTGACAGGTCGTCGTGGAAGCGACTTTACAAGGTAGCCACGCAATAAAGCAAACCCTATCTATTTTACTCTAAATAGGACTGTAATTTACTAAATGAACATCATGCTGTATTTAAGAAGACCTGAAACTAGTGATTGAGACTTTAAACTCAGGAGGACAGTGTATACTGAGGTAATAAATTAAGTGAGAATTATGCTCAGTTTGTCATAGACTTCTACACAATCTGACTTATTATGGCGACCCATGGAGCTGCCCCCTGTGATGGACTGGCGACCTGTCCACAGTGTACCCCGCCTTTCGCCCAATGTCAGCTGGGATTGGCTCCAGCCCCCCGCGACCCTGTACGCAGGATAAGTGGTTGATGATGGATGGACGGATGGAGCTGCCTCTGCTGGTCATTAGAACGAATGCAGGTTTAAGTCACCTCTGTATTGGCTTCATTTTTCAGATCCAGAGGTTCCCACTTGGTTTAACATCAGAAACATTGCAGGTCATCCAGGTTTCTGTGTCCAAAAAGTTTAGAAGAAATAAAAGGACATTTTGTTAGCCTTTGTAGCACAGACAAGAAGAAAATATGTCATCCAGGACAATCTGACTGAATTTAAAATATAACTTATAGATGCCATCAACTCATCTGGTGGGGATGTGAGGAACAGAGGTTGTGGCTTTATACATTTATCTTCAAAACCTTTGAAAACCAACAAAATGAGGATGACGCCTGGTATGTGTTGTTTTGCGCGTGTGTTAGATGTGAGGGGCTTAGCTCGGAAGAGATAAGTATCAGTATTCGGTGGTGAATCAGAGTGAAAGGATGAAACTTCTACTGAGCGGTCTGTTCTTCACCTCCCTCAGTTTAAGTAAGTAAAAACATTACATTAGCAGTTTAGAGCTCCATATTCATATTTTATTAGAGTTTCCTATAATTTATGAAGTTAAATGTGATATTAAAAAAAGGATTTAGATTCATTTTAAAAAGAATCCCTGTTGGTAATAGACTTACAAACAGATTAACGCCTGAAAATGTGTGGAGTTTCATTGTGTTGAGATTGTGTGGTAATGATCATAGAAGAAAATGTCATTTCAGTTCACTTAGTACGCATGCACTACATTAAAGCAAGTATATATTTCCATATTTTATTTGAAATGTTTGTGTGTGATTTAATTGATTAAACTGTCCAGAGGTCAAGTAATTGGATGGTATCGTTGGCTGGTGTGTTTCTGTGTTTTCTTGAAAGTGCTGGCAGTAAGTCTTTGTTTGTCATCTAGGGTTTTTTGAGACAGGAGCAGGTCATATTTCTAAAATGAGATACGATTAAGAGAATGCGTATTTCTTCGTTACAAATTATAGCTGTTAGAGCGCGTGCCCTATGTACAAGGCTGATGAACTACCAAATCATGCATCACTCTGTCTGTTCATAGGTGTTTCTTCAGGCACACTTGTTGTTACCCAGAGTCCTGATGTCTCTGTCATGGAGGGGGAGAGAGTGAACATCACCTGCTGCGGGACAGGGGGGTCAAGAATGAGAATTAGTTGGCTGAAAAATCAAACAGAAATAAAGACGGAGACATTTGAGTCGAAGAATTACTCTCAAAGATCTCTGAGAAAGGAGTCATCTGGCTGCTCAGACTTGATCTTTACTAATATCAAAAGAGAGGATGCAGGGAGATACACCTGCAGGATGACTGTGGAGATACCACTTTTAAAAGAGGCTGAAGGAAATGGCACTTTCATCACAGTTACAGACAGAGACAGATCAAAGATCAACCCAGCAGCAGGTAGGTAACAAAACACCAACAGCTTGACAGTGTTGCATTAAGGCTTTGACTAATATCTTGGTTTGCAAATGGAAGGAGCTAATAATGAAGCGTATTCAGAATGAGGTCTGGTTTGTTCAGATCAGTCAAATCGGACACATTTTTATATATAAGCTACTAATGCAGGATGTTAAAAAACATTTATTTTTCATTATTCTTCATCACAATTACAGACAGAGACACAACAAAGATAAACTCAGCAGGAGGTAGGTCACAAAACACCAGCAGGTTTGACTAATATTTTGGTTTGACAACGGATGGAGCTAATAATGATGTGTATTCAGAATGAGGTCTTATTTATTCAGATCAGTCAATTTTCTTGTTTTATACTGTATATATAAACTGGTAATGCAGGATTTTAAAAACCTTTTATTTTTGTCATCACAGTCACAGAAAGTGACAGATCAAAGATCAACTCAGCAGGAGGTAGGTAACAAAACACCAGCAGCTAGACAGTGTTGCAGTGAGGGTTTGAATAATATCTTGGTTTGCAAATGGAAGGAGCTAATAATGATGTGTATTCAGAATGAGGTCTGGTTTGTTCAGATCAGTCAAATCGGACACATTTTTATATATAAGCTACTAATGCGGGATGTTAAAAAAGATTTATTTTTAATTGTTTTTCATCACAGGTACAGACAGAGACACAACAAAGATCAACTCAGCAGGAGGTAGGTCACAAAACACCAGCAGCTAGACAGTGTTGCAGTGAGGGTTTGAATAATATCTTGGTTTACAAATTGATGGAGCTAATAATGATGTGTATTTAAAATAAGGTCTGGGTTTGTCAAATCTTTCTTGTTTTATACTGTATATATTAACTACTAATGCAGGATTTTTTTTGTCATCACAGTCGCAGACAGAGACGTCACAATTATCAACACTTCAGGAGGTAGGTGACAAAACACCAGTGCATACACACCATACCACTTTGCCAAAGATCAGGGCTGATCATAATGTTAATCAAGATTAATATATTACAGATATTCTGTTACTTTGTTTCTTTAAAGCAATACTGATAATGGTAAGTCTAACTAAAAATAGCATTAATACCACCAAATAAAGACAGTCAAAAATATGCAACTGGTCCACAATAATCGGTACAATAGATGAAGTCGAGTGATTGCTCTTAGGCATTCAGAAATAATCAGTACTTATACCAAATAAGAGAATTTAACTCAGATTAAATTCATCTCAGGGCACCACCCTAAAAACCTCATTCAGTCTCAATTCTGGAATTCTCTTCACTCACGTTCAGTGACCGTAATACTTTAACAAAAAACACGTAATTCACTTTTTTTTTCCTTCATATAAATGAATCATTAACTAACTTCTTACCCTGACCTGTATTTGGGGCCGTCCTTTATTTGTCTGTGGCAACCACACCGGGCCAGACCCAGCTTTGATTATTATTATTTAATACTTAATAATAATATATATTATTATTATTATTATTATTAGTAGTAGTAGTAGTAGTATTAGTATTAGTAGTAGTAGTAGTAGTAGTAGTATTTATTAATTAAGAGAAATAATTGCTGAAATTCTTTCTTTGTTCTTTTTGTCCACTTTAAGCTTGGGTACTGTAACTGAATAGACCAGGGGTTCTTAACCTTTCTGACAGTCCGACCCCTTTTTGAAGTTGAAAATATTTCTCTTGAACGTGCTATGATTAGTGTAGCTAGCCTAGGCTATTTCTCTGGAGTTTTTGAAGGTGCACACATAGCATAACTTGAAAACATAGTGTTCACATAGAATACTTCAATGATCAGTCTGTAGATGAACATAGTGGCAAAGACTGTACCTGGTTTGGTACCTGTTACATCAACAAATAAGGTTAGTCCATAATGTTAGCAGTCTGGTGGTTTGCGTGAACAGGGTGGCCTGGGATGTATTATTATTGAATTATTGTGACAGTCCACTCCGGTTGTGTCAGAGGTGTTACCCAATTAACAGTAACGTGTATGTGATCACTGATATATTAAAAAGAAAGTGAAATGCATTGCGCTTCAAGATATATGTTAAATAATGTAATAATTATTATTATTACTATTATTAATAATAGAATATAACTTTAAGTTATATTCACCTCAGGGCACCCCTCTTGAAACAAGAAAAAACTGAAAGCCAATTAACTAATTCAGTGTCATTAAAATATACTAAACTATTAATGTGCAATTTTGGTTAATAATTAAATTTCAGCTTTTTCTGAATGCTTAAACAACAGTCATTCTTGAAGCGCTGTTTCTGAAACCATTAACATGTGTAGCGATTTACCAAGTTTGCCAAGCCGAATGCATATTCTCTGCTTTACACTCTAATTGTAATTCATTAACACACTAACAAAACTGTGAACATTACTATATTTTGCTACACTATTTTGCCAATTGGCATTCCACACTGACAATGTGGAATGCCACATGTGAAAACATTTTTTGATTTTTAGTTCACATACCAGTCAGAGCTTGAGCACTATGTAAACCGGCCACAGGTTAACATTTGGAGGCAAATGTTAACCTTTAGAGGGGTGATAATTACAGTAGGAAGAGGAGGACATGGGTGAGAAGGTGAAGAAAGAAGAGGAGGATGAGGAGGTGAAGAAGTAAGAGGGGGAGAGGGCAAGATAAAGAAGGATGGGGGCAGTACAGAGTCCCTTTCAAAATACATTTTTTTTCAACTGCAAACCTGCATTGGTCAAAACTGAAGTCACATTGTCAAAACTCAGTGAAACAGAAGTGTATTTGGACCAAACTGTGAATCATTTCTCACTGCTTTCACACAAAACACATTCAATGACCACTTTCTTCAAAATTCATGAACTTTTTTCTCATTACTACTCCCCCACCTACAAAACACTGTAAACTATATAACACTGCAGCACATTTTTCAAATGCTAACACAAAGTGTCCAGAACTGTTAAAAACACATTCAAAATGTCCTGCATTTCTACAGCAACCAAACTGAAATAAAGTTTAGTAGAAATAGAAAATCTTATCAGAATATTTATGTAAATTTTAAGTTTATATACTTTACTTATATGTGCGTGGAGAGCTGTGTGTGTGTTTTGAAATAAGTGTGTTTTTTAGAGTGACAGTGTTTGCTTTCTGAGTGAGGATTGTTGCCAGTGTTTGGTTGAATGAGTTAATTCTGAAACTTATATGAAATGTTTTGGTTGTTTTTAGTGAGTTTTGGAGGTGGGATTGATGCATGTTGGTAATGCAGACTGGATGAAGCGTTTTGAAAAAGGGACTTCAGTTTTGCCCAATGCTTGTTAGCAATAGAAAAAAACTGGAAACTTAAGCTGATAATACACAGGGCAACTTTTTAAGCAATGTTGCTGGGCAGTCTTGCTGGTGACAAGTCCAACCATGTTTTCAATGGATAGCGGTGGTGCGGGGAGGGTGGCAGAGTGATGGAGGAAGGGGATTACGGTAGTAATCTTTACTCATTACCATTGACAGCAACATTGCTCTAAAAGTTGCTCCGTGTATCATTAGCTTCAGTGAAACAAGTGAGGAACACACATCCATACTTTACACATTTGGGCACCTGTGTGTATGTGAGTTTTACTACATGCATGACAAAACTTTATTGCAAACTGCTATGTCCTACACAGAAAACGCAAAAGCCACATGCGTTTTTCATTTTTACTATCAGTGTGTATTTATGTGTACTGAATTGATGCAAAAATACAATGTTTAAAAGAGTTTGAAGAGTTTTGCAAGAGATGTATGATGTTTTTTTGGTGTATGGCTTTGCGAATAGCCAACAGTTTCAGAAATTGTGTCTAAGCAATCAGAAAAAAATGTAGTAACTATAACAAAATTACCGAGGAGTTTGGGTGAAGAGGTTGATATATTCACTCTTTTGGAATATTAAAAGAAACCAGCATGTAACAAGATAACAAGATAAACAAAGAAAAAACACACTAGATTAGAACTGAAATGCAATTAACTAAAAGAAGGAGAAGACAAAGAGATCTGCATGTTAGATAAGGAGAGTGTGTGTGTGTTTGTGTGTGTGTGTGTGTGTGTGTGCACATGTGGTTAAACAAAGGAGCTATGGGAACTTTACGTTTCCTCCTGCATATGAGCGCTTGTTTAAGGCCATATAGAAGTACATACTGTGCGTCAAGCATAGCATCTCTAACCAATTCAGCATGGGCTGAGAACTGTGGTTACATATTCTCTCATAAACAAGGATGATCTGTTTTCCTTAGAGGCTAGCTGGCCAATCGTACAAAAAAACCAACTGTATTGTAAATGTGGCTGTATTAAAACAGTGATCACAGACAGCAGGAGGACACTAAATGGTCTCTATGACTGCAGCCAGCAGCCACTGTGTGGCAGCAAAGTTCGACATGACAACATTTTGTCATCATTTTGTGAGCACACATTTTAAATGTCGATAGGCCAAAGCCATCGCACAGCTATTGTTGTTATCCCGTATTCATGCTGATTTTCTCCGATGATGCCAATATCATCAAATAATGATTTGGTCTGTCCAACTCCTTAGCAGATGTTAGCTATAATGCACAGTTTTGTTGTTTGCCAACTGCAATAAAAGAGATTCATCCATTTCACTGTTGATCAGATGTTTCTCTGTGGGCAGAAGGAAAAAATTACCTGGAAACGTGAGTGTGGACGCAGGTTTTCACACTAAAACAGCATTTTATTAATTAGTCGGCTGTTTCTGTGGGTAAATTTCAGATTCTCACAGGAAGGAAGTGTTTATGTTTGCCCTGAGGTGCCTGCCCATCCTTGCCCTTGTCATAACCTTCTTCTACCTCTACAAGTTAGGGAGCAGAGCTCAGCAACACATACCAGGTACAATACAACTTTAACTTAACTCCATTATGGTGATTTGGTGTCTAGATCATACATTGGCAACATATATGTTACAGCACGTTATGACTAATCGATCAGTGCATTCGTGTTTCAGATGATCCTGGAAATAAAGTCATTTCAGCCCAAAGAATGGAAGAAGACCAAGAAGAAGAGGAAACAGACGAGAGAGAAACAGAAGCAGAAAGTAGATGAAGAAAACCATAGACTGTCTAATTAGGTGGGTTTCCATCCACCTGTTTTTTTGCACATTTTGAATTTGCACATAACCCTTGGGGGAAGTGGAAAAGTTGGTGCATCAATTTTCAAAAGTGCAATGCAGACAGACTCAGAAAATAAATGATGTACATGAAGCATGTGACTTAAACATTCACTGAAGCTTCTGCCCCCCTGGAAAACAGATCTGTGTGGAACAATGAAGAGACTGTAACCTTCCTCACATTAATATATCAAACTAACAGGCTGCTATATTTCCATCATGTTTTCTAAGTTGTTTGAGGTTTGACTGAAGCTCTTCTATTTGTCTTGTCTTGTTGTGCCCTTTTCTACAATGGTATGGTGGCACCTGAATGGAGCTGTAGTGCCACCTACTGCTCATCTGATGAACCAACACCTACTTTCTGCATAAAAGCAGTGGATGGAAACATGAAACCTTTAGGGGTTTTTTTCCTCTTTTTTGCCGATTTGGATGGAAAAGAGGCTACAGTCTCGATTGGGATGAATTTCCAAAAAACCTACAAACTGTTATTAATGCTCTCATCACCTTCAGACTGGACTACTATGGTTCTTTACTTTTTGACATCAGCCTCTCTATTCTGTTTAAAGCTCATTCTAAATGTGGCTCAGGTATCTGAAAGGAAAGAACAGAGGTTGTGGTTTGGCACAGCTCAGCAAAAAAATTTCTGAGAAATACAAAAATAAAGATGTATGAAACCTGTTTTGTGTGTTGTGGGCAGGGATGTGCTGGGACTCAAATTCAGCCCAGGCCTTTGAGACGGAGAGGGCTTTTAATGCGAGATTGTTTGCAGTTATTTTAATGCTAATAGTGTTTTTATGGTGAGAATCAGTACGAGATTATACTACCAACATGTCATGTGTACAGTCAGTCAGAATGCTAGTTACAGATACTCACACACACATCCACACTCAGATACTCAATGGGCCAGATTTACTAAAGGTTTCCGTGAGTAAAAATGTGTGCAAACTTTATATCAACATGCACGCAGAATGACATCTTCCAAAAGTGCAAGATAGCACCTGTTGTTCATTTACTACTTTTGCCTTCATGTAGTGTTTCTCGACGGGGGCGGTACCGACCCCCAGGGGGCGTTCCGAGAACGATGGGGGGCACTGCAAGCAATATTTTGGAAAGGGGGGCGCTGAGCTGCTTTTGGGGGGCATTTGTTAGTTGGAAATTCTAAGGCCAGTTTACACCAAAGATTCATAACAATACGAGTTTAAACTACTTGCAAAAAAACTGGTCTGCCACATTAAAACCTGCCAGTTTAGTCCACTGCGACTGCTGCAGCTCCGTGCTGCCTTCACGGGAACGGGAAGTCAGAGTATCAGTTCTTCACATGGCAAAAGGGGTCCTGTCTGTCAAAGAAGGCTACCGCAAATGTGCCTGTTCATAATTATTTGTGTGTTCCCATCTCAGGGCATCAAATACTTCCGCTTTATAAGCGTTAGTTGATGCAAAAGGTACTGTCGGATTTACCATGAAAGCAACTTCGCTGTGACACCAGCGAACGAAGTGGACCCACCTTGCGCTGTGTTGCAAACAGTTTTGCCAAAGCGGACATATACAGTAGGCTAGTTTCAGTAGGTTACAAAATGTAACGTTAAAAACTGAAGCACTAACTTGCTCTGTTGGGGATTGTAAGCGGCACTATCAGAGGTGTTGAAGATAACGTGTGTGGAATTATTCGTGAGCTTTCTGCCTGACCACAGGTGTTGGTTAGTTTTTCCCGGCATGAGCTCCTCCTCGTCTCATCCAGTTCTGTGTCTGTTAGAGGGGACACTTCCAGCCAATCAGTAATGTAATGTAGTAGGCCTATAGGGTATGTAGTAAAATATTATGAATTCTCTTTACATAGGCTAATGACGTTAGTCTCGTAATACGACTTTTTTCTTTACATGTCAGAGAACAGATACGTGGGAGAGATTCTGAATGTGCAGAAAGTTTTGAACATGAGGAGATAAGTTACAGTGTTTCCCATACGTTCATTTATTTGTGGTGATATCAGCGCTGACCACCACATTTTTTACTAGGCTTATTTAAAATCGTATTTGATTGCAGAGCTGCAGGCAGGACGTATTCACACGGCACATCCTCTCTCTCTCTCTCTCTCTTGGTGCTTTCAGACCAAAAGTGAAGCGAGTGTTCGGTGGTGAGTTTACATACAAAGTCAATGCAAAGACGCGTAGAGCCAAGATTTCCTGACGGGCGGCGCGAAGCGACACAAAGGAATTGGCCTGAGTTGAATATTTTCAACTCAAGTGAGAAAGTTGCATGACGCTGAGAAGGTTGAGATTGTCCGTATGTTACCGACAGCTTCAGAGCGTTGTGTGGAGAGGGCCAGGAAGAGCGGGCGATTGAAAATCTGCTGGCCGGCGGAGAGCTGCTAAACTTTGGGGAGAGGAGCAGAGAGCAGCGCGGCAGCTTTTGGACAAATAAACACCCGTAGTCGGACTGGATTCTGCTCTGACAACTATGCCGTTTACTCGCGGGAGGAGCTTGGAGTAAACTGCTTTTATTAAATTAGCTTTAGTTTTTGGGATTACAACTTTGATTTATCTTCACTCCAGCTTCTCAGCAGCTAGCTTCCGTGTACATCCGGTTCCAGTGTTGTTAGCGTCGTTTGGCACTACTTCATATTTATATAAATACCGGACAAAACTAGACATTACTTGGAGAAAAGAAAGCGAGGAGGTTGAACTACCTGGTGAGTTCAGAAAATATGTGTATGTAACTTTATTCCAGCTACCGTTGTACTTTACTGTGACCAAGTTAGCATAGCATAACGTTAGCGCCGATCGAGCCGAACTCCATTCAGAAAACAAACAGTTTAGAAGTTGTTGTCCTGCTGTCTTGCTGACAGACCTGACAAAGCATGAATTCAGTTTAACAAATCTGTTGTAGTTATTTTGGCATCAGTTTGATCTGATGGCAAATGCTTTGACACATTTATGCAAATCAATGTGCAATAGTCTGCTGTTTCCTACATTATCAGTTGCTTACTCTATGTCATGTTGATTACAATGCATTACAGTATACTGGTTCTCTGTTGAGTAGCCTTACCCCCCAAAACATCTAGGCATAAGTTCATTGCATAAGTCACTACATGCAAAATGGTTGAACATGCCATAATGTGCAAATAATTTTTCCTACATGTCTATAAATGTGTGCTACGGTACATTGATGAAGATATCTGTTATGATGTTACAGGTTTTTTTTTTTACAGTCGCTAGGACACATTTCCCAATACTTAGGCCACTTTTTCAAAACTCTTCACACAGTTCTCCAAACCAACTTTCAGCTCGGCACAGCAGTTCATTTCACTTTCAAAATGCACTAAAACTACCAAATCACTTCATACATGTCTCAAAATCAATTTGTTGTTTGTCAACACTAGGTTGACAAACAACAAACACACCTTGTCACCCAAAAAACAATGACCTAAAAAACACTAACAACAGGTAGCATTATACAATGTTTTCTTGTGTAAAACAAGGACACATCTCTGTTTATAATTCACTGCAATATAGGTTACTGGAATGAATCAGACATGATGCAGAATGCTTCAATATATTTTATGTCTTTTATTATTATTTTTTTTTTTGCACTGAGTAATTCCAAAATACAAGAATTTGTATACACACTATCCACTGATACAGATACAATAGTAATGCTAATCTACTCGGTCTTCTCCATTTGGCCACAGGTCCACATCACATCTTATGTCATCTAGGGCAGTACACCTAGTAAAGAATCTTCTGGCATGCCTGATCCATCCTTGGCAATCTTCTGCTGATATGTCCAGGCATCCAGCATTCATTGCGTCCAGGAGGGACATTTGATCATGTGGATTCCATAGAGATCATGCAGGAACGCAAGGAGATGTTCAGTGTTGTATGGCTCAATTAGTGGTTTGTGTAACAGCAGTCCATCAGTGGATATTGCTGCGTACATTGTGATGTTGGCACCCCTCTGGCCCCGGACATCCACTGTGGTTTTGGCCAAGTTGAAATCTGCCTCATCAACAAAGATGAAAATGTGGGGTGTTTGCCTGCCTTCAATCTCCGTGACTCTCTAAAATAAATCCACAAGGCAACATAAGCTGTTACAGTAGTAAACATTACATAAAAAGTTGTCTTTGTATGTGTTTGGTTTTGTTCAAAAACAGTTCTGTATCTCATTGTGATCTTACCTGGACATATTGGTTCCTGAGTTCCTCTCAAAAGGCACAGTGTACAACTGTTTCATCCTTACCTGATGTTTTTTTCAGGACTCTAGAAATAGTTGTTATGCTTACACTGTGAATATTTGCAAAAGTAACGTTGTCTGCCAAGACTCTGTCTCGAATCTCAGTGAGTTTTATGCCATTGTTTCTGATGACCATATAAACAATGGCAGTTTCCTGCACATCAGTGAACATCCTTCCTCTCCCACCTGTGTGAGGTAACCGTTGAGTCCTAAGCAGAAATGCAAAAGCAATTACACACACGTCTATTTACTTCTGTAATGTGCAACTCAGTCAAATGCCCTTGCAGAATACAAGTTACCTGTTGGTTTGCCGGAAAACTCTAACAATAGATGCCACTGCTGAGCGTTGCAGATTTGGCTGCACTCTCTGACCAGCCTCTCTCATTGAGAGACCATGATTTATTAAATGATCAATTACAGTAGCTCTGATCTCATCTGAGACTACAGCTCTTGATCTTCCTCTTATTTTTCCTTCCACCACGCATATGTATTCCTCGCCCCCTCCCAGCCACTCTTCTTCCTCTTTCAGTCACTTCTCTATTTCTGGCTGGGTCCATGTTTACATCACAATGCAAAACTACTCAGCAGTTGTCTCCTTTTGTAATCAAATTGAAAGAGTAACACCTGTGTAGATCAGCTGTGGTTGGTCCAATTGTTTTTATAGCATTTAATTGTAGGATTTACAATATATTTCATTAAAATATTACTGTAGAATTGTAGCAAATTGCTGTCTTATTCAGTTTTGTATTATGTTATTGTTTTGAACTTAAGTTTAACAGTTTTGAAAACAGTGTGTAAGCATGTGCTAATTGGCCTGTAAGTACACAGAGTTTTGGCGGTTGTTGTGTCAAAGTGAGAAAAGAATGAATGTAATTTGGAAGATGTAGTCATTGAATGCATTTTGTGCCAAAGCAATGATAATTGATCCTCAGTTTGGCCCACATATACTTCTGTTGTGCTCACTGTGTGAAGAGTTTGCTCTGTCACCAAATTACAGTGCATACAGAAAAGTGTAACATTGAATCCTGTCCAATTCCCAGCAATGTATAACTCTGTACTGTTGAAAATGATCTGTGCCATACAGAAAAAGTGCAGCCTTGTGCATTTTGAATCATTGTCATCTAATCCTTAGCCATAGTTTACAGATACAAATAGTTTTGCAAATGTTGAGGATGATTGTAGAAATGTACCAAAGCAACTGAGAAAAACTTGTTCCTGAAATTTCAGTGCTGCAATTCAGTTGCAGTAACACTGGTACGTACGTGAGACACAATGACCACAACTTGTATTAGAAGCACCAACCACTTGAACCAGTTCTGCTAAAATACAAGCACATTTCCCGCTTTACACTCAGCTTGCAGTTTTACAGTAAAACCAATTTCATAAAACTACAAACATTTCTCTATGCACATAGATTTAAAAATAAAATGTATGTAAATGTAAAAGATTTTCTATATATTTCAAATGTAAAAGATTTTCTATATATTTCAGTCTGGTTGCTGCAAAAATGCAGGATATTTGCAATAATTCTGTTTTGAATGTGTTTTTAACAGTTTTGGACACTGTGTTAGCATTTGAAAAATGTGCTGCAGATATACAGTGTTTTGCAGGTGGTGAAGTAATGAGAAAAGAATTCATGAATTTTGGAGAAAGTAGTCATTGAATGCATTTTGTGTGAAAGCAATGAAAAATGATTCACAGTTTGGTCCACATACACTTCTGTATCGCTGACTGTGTGAAGAGTTTTGACAATGTGACTTCAGTTTTGACCAACGCAGGTTAGCTGTAATCACAGCAAAATGTTTCCTTTGGGTTCATACAGCTGTAATGATGGCGAGTTGTGCTTATTCGCGTTATCGCATTGTGTGTAAACACTCAGCAGTTGTCCAGCAATAAAACCCTCACAAGGATAGCATTGCGTCGATTAAATTCGCGTTTGGTCAGTTTGCTCACTCATGAACACGGCTGCTCAAATCAGTCCAGCACTACGCTGTCAATGTCGGAGACCCTGCTTAAAAGAGTTATTAGCAAGCATGTAAGGAGCCTAGCTAATAAGGAGAGCTAAGTTAATGTTAGAACACTAATAGCTGGTGGTCAGTATCGACTGCACCCTCCACCCTCCATGTTTTTTATAACAATAGTAACAACAACAATAAAAAAAACTAATTAACAATATTCATGGCAAATACCCAATATCTTTTTTTGATGGGGGGTGTTAAGAGACCTGGATAATGGATGGGGGGGGCGCTGGCCCAAAAAAGGTTGAGAACCACTAACTTAAACTTAGACCATCAGAATAATGTGAAATATCTCATAAAAACTGTACAGAATTGGCTTTAAGTCAATCTACAAAATACAGTGCATTACTACAGGTTACAATTTTCGGATGTTCCAATACTGATAAATAACTTCCAATAAATAAAAAATATCAGGTTATGTTGCGTTTTTTCAGATTTTGAAAAAGGAGAGGCTCAGTCCAATGAAAATTAACAAAAAGATTTAATTACAAAAATTAGTGAATAAAGAGATGGCATTACAGAACAAACAAATAACACTGCAGTGGACTGAAAAGTTGGTCCTCCGTTCAGATTTACAGCTTACAGTCAAGTCCGAACAGACTGAGCTAAAGCCGCCTCCAGCAGTGGACTGAAAAGCTGCTTCTCCTCCCAGATCCACAGCTTACAGTCCTGATTCTCACAAAATAAATTGTTAATATCCTCCAGGTACGTGGACGGGTCCATTTTCCTCCAAATGGCTTAGGTCCATAGCCAATGGTCGTCACCCAATTGGGAAGGGTGTACCTTACTGTTCTACCTTTTGGTCGAACAAAAGAGCACTGATCCCAGACGTGAAACCCCGCTTCAATCTACAGGAATAAACAGTCTTTTGCTCTAAACTAATCATAGAGAACAACTGGGCTTGTCTCCAAAATGGTTGACACCTTGACCTATCTTAAGTGTCAATGAAACAGTCAAAACAAAACAGTCCTTCTGGCACTAAACAAAGAGGTGTCAGTTTTCTTCACATTACAAAGAGGATACAAACAATGGTTTAATCAACATTCTAATGCAATTGCCTGGCCTAAAATCCTGCAGTTTTACATTTGAAGAAAAACACTGAAACACTGGAATTAAGTTTGTTGTAACTTTTTAAAACTCAACAATCCCTCCTTTCACACCATTGATTGGTGTGAAATCACTATTAGACTTCTCTACAATTATGTCATTGAAATGTCAAAGTTGTAAAATCAAATCATGGTTTAAGCAAAAAATCATCTTCCTCTTCTCTGACCTCTTCTTCCTGCGTTGGTAACATGCCAATGTTACGTCTCCCCTCTGCATCCTCTTCTTGCATCTTCACTGGTTATGACCTTTTTTGTGTGAAACAGTACGTGTAGAAAATCAGTGTAAATGACATCAGTTCAATTGGTGAGTGCAAATGAATCAATAATCTGTGTGGGTGTTGTGGTTATATGAGTACTAGTGCAGTCTGTTTGTTGAGAGCTCCAAGACTTGTCTGTCATCTTGTTGAACTGTGCTGACCAGGACGGTGGTGAGCACTGCAGCCATTGTCTGTGTTGTTGGAGGGGATCCTCACTGGGGAAACACTTTGCACTGTGATGCATAGACCCAGGTGTCCCTCTCAGCTACCTTGGCGACAGTTGAAGTTGTCCATATCACCTGGGATGATCTTGACTGTCTGGTGATGGTCTCACTGATTGGAACCCTGGAAACTGCACAGTGAGGCCCCCAGGTGGTGCGTGTGGCCAGGATTCTTCTGGACCTTGTTCCTCTTCCCAGGCAGTCATTGGCAACTGGGAGTAGTTAGTTGACATGTTACTCCCTCTTCCTCTCCCTGTGTTTGGTAGTCCTCTTCTGTTTGAGGATTCTCTTCCTCTCTGTAGGCCATAAGGCACTGGTGCATGTAGACCTTCGAAAGGACAATCTCTGGACCAGTGTCCTAGCTGTCCACATTTGTAACAGCCAGTGAATCCTGTTGTCCTGGGCTTATACTGTCCTGTTGATGGTGGTTTCTGGTATTGCATGGGGTATGGTTGTGGAGGAACTGGTTCTGTTGTTGCCCATGGTGGCCACGTGGGTGAAGGTGTGGTTTCTACTGGTAGCTTTTTCATTGCAGCAGCTATGGCCTGTTCAACCACGTCTTGTATTTCTCCTGCAAATGATCCCATTATCATTTGTTTTTCGGGTTTATTTTCCTTTGCTTTGTTTATAATGTCTTCTTTTTCTGCTACTTGCATCTTCAGCAGTCTTTTGTTGAGGGCCTTTAACTCTTCATCATGTTCATCCTCTGTTTTGTTATATCTGCTGCAGTGATGAGTCAGTTGGAGTCGCCAGTGTTCTTCATCCATGATGTTGAGTCCCGCAATGTCATTCAATTTGGCTTGGACTGCTAATGGGAGAGCCTTTATCACTCTGTCTCTGTACAGCATGCGATTAGAGGTGGAGTGATCATAGCGTTCTCCAGTGCTTTCCAACCATTCATCTTCACACCTTCTTAGAAAGACATGCAGCTCCTCATCAGGCATCTTTTTAAGGCTGTCCAATCCAGTAAGGGATCTTAGTGTAGGGAATTTATCTCTTACTGCCTCCCAGTAGACATTTCTGTACCTGTTGAAAGGTGTGCCATCTGCTTCAGTGGTGCATCTGGCTATTCCATCCAGTTCCCGGACTCTAATATTTCCTTCTATGCGTCTCATGAGTGCTCTTATGTCTCCCAAACAGAGCTGGTCTCCTGCTGTGTATTTCTCACATTCGATGATCCATCTTTGTCCTCCTTTTTGTAGTGGTGGCAGTTTGGTCACTAATGCTTCCATGTCCCTGTGTTTCCAAGGCTGGTAGACTGTTGCTCCTCCTCCTCCAGCCACCAGAGGGTATTGTCCCTGTGTTGTGCTTTCTATGGGTGATCGGGTGGGGCTTAAGATGGGACTGGTCAGGACTGCTCCTTCAGATGTGGTGGGTGGCAGGGCAACCTTTACTTTGCCCCTTAGTCTGTGTGTGCATGTTGTGTTGTTGTCCTCTTCTTCTGACTCAGAAGAATCACTGGAGGTGTCTTCACCTTTTTCCTTCCTCTCTGGATGTGTCACACATCCCTTCTTTTTCCTTTCTTTAATTTCTTCTTCACTTTCTTCTTGTCCTTCACTGTCATAACCAGTCCTATGTTTTCTAGGCTTTTTCTTACTCTTCGTCTTTCTCTTCTCCTCTTCTGTTTGTCTCTGCCTCAGTCTCTGTCTTTCACTTCCCAGCATGGTGGCTTCCTCCCTGAGCCTGAAGGCTCCATCTCCAGTGCACTCATTATCTCTACACATTTGTCCTTGATCCAGGGTGGAGAAGGATGGATGCACAGGGCTTGTCACTGGCGTTCCGGTGCCGCCACTTCCTGTTCTGCTTGTTTCCAGTATGCTCTGGGTCTCGCTTATCATTTGCTGTGCATTTTGGGCCACAGCCAGAACCTCTGATATCACCTCATTCAGTTTTCGGTTTGCATCAGGAACTCCATCAACTTCCAGGACTCCTCCTGTTACCGGCATTAAGGGGGCTTGTACAGGTGGACGAGAGGGGGTAGGGAGCCTGGGTTGAGACAGCATGTATGGTGGGGGAGCAGTGGGAATCACTGAATGTAGTCTAAGGTCCTTAAACTCATTCTGCTCTTCCTTGGTGGTGTCCGAGTTGGCCTCTTTCTCTGAGCAAGCTCCACTGGGCTCTTCTGGGATGACATGCTTCACGTACATCAACAACTGAGAGACACGTGCCATACGTTTTGCAGCCTTGTCAAGGGCTCTTTTTGTTGATCCAAATCTCGGTTCTCCTTTCCTCTCCCATTTTGTTTGAGCTTTGGACGCTTCTCCTCTTTCATATCCTATTATCCGTGTTCTGTATGTTCCAGTGGGACATGGGTCTGTATCTCCTGGGATCAATTTTCTGTCCTGCCAATCCATCCAAATTTTTTCCAGCTTCTTTTTTGTTTTTTGTCTGTTTTTCTTTTCTGTGGCTGCCTCAATTTTCTGGAAAATCTTATTCTTCCAGTCTTCTGTTGTAATGCTTGAGGATGGCTGCAGGGGTTGTTTGTCTGCCATTTTGCTAATTTGTCTATCCCTGACTTCTACACATCAGTTTGTGTCTTATTCTTTGGGTTTTGGGTGTGTGTACTAAAAATGAAATAATACAACAGAACAACAGAACAAACTCTAACCCTAAGGGGGACTCTAACCCCTCAACACTAAAACAAACAATACTTAGGGACTCTAACCCTAAGGGGGACTCTAACCCCTCAAAACAAACAATACTTAGGGACTCTAAC